CTTCCCATGTTCTCCCAGCTTCCCATGTTACGTTTTAGGCGGTATTTGGGAAACTGGGAAACTGGGAAAAAACTCCCAGTTTTAACTTTGTATCCCCTAAATGTTTACAGTGTCTGCCATCAAGCATTTGTTTGTTTTCTCTCCTCCTAAATAACTCATTTGCATGAATGACTGGTTTCACAATCAACTGTTTCAAGATTTTGCTTGTTATGATGTTAGCCAATTAATCATACTAGCACAATTGGGCAGCGGGCGCCACACTGGCATTTTTGTTACTACCTGAAGCATACTGTGGGTGCACCAGTAGATATTTTGAGGATGAGGGGCGCTCTCAGGCGCGCCTGAATGTTGACACCCCCTTTTTGTGCTTTTTGTGACACCCTGAAAAAATTGTGAAGAAAAGCATATCCTGCCCTAAGCCTAACCCCCTAAGCCTAACACCTAACACCTAACACCTAACACCTAACACTAACAGTTCCTAACCAGTTCTCTTCATTCCAGTCTCAGCAGAGGTTCAACGTGCTTATCTGAAATAAATGCCCTGGTGTGCACCAATTACAAATTCCCAATTGATGGTGCCAAATTATAGTCATTTTTTGTTTTCTTTTGATTTCATAACTCTTTGTGATTACAAAATTTTGTGTTTCATGGGTATCTTGCAATGGGTTTCACAGTAGTGTAACTACTCCACTGCAATTATTTGACCTGTTGGTTCTTGTCATGGTATCAGTGATAACACGGATATTCATAATTAATGTGATGTGTATGATGTGACAACTTTAATTCTTCTGCTTCTTCATTACACAACATAATAACAAGAATCACATCATTTCTTGATTAAATATACAAAGATTTCTTCAGATGAATTATACTGGATGTGGGAAATTGGAGACTTCCATGTTGGATAACATTTTGGGTCAAAAGAAAAGACAAAAACAAGAAAAAATGAGGACTAAAAAATCAAAGAAAAAAAAAACATAACCTCTACAACAACCAAGAGAAAAGATGATTCTTAAAACAAACTTTTCCTTGTACCACCCACTACTTTTCCTTTAACATATACACTTGCAATATTTCAATCATCACCCTAAAAGAAGTTAAATTCAAAATTTAATAAACCACCCAAGTAAAAAAAAACACACACAAAAAGGTCAGTATCATTCAAATCATTCAAATCAATTTTTTGAAAAAAAAAAGTTTACAAACCGTAAACAAGAATTTTTCAAATAAATCATTCAATTGAATTTCTTTTTGAAATTCATCAATAAAAAAATAATTCGGATTGCAACCATCCAGATAATAGATTCCAATCCCATGACCACCAGAAACATCTGTACCTAATCCAATCTTTTCGATTCCAGCTTGTAATAAACTGTTCACTTGACGAATCCGTGATTTTCAAATTGAAATTCGAACTTGGACAATGACTGAATCCACATTCTTCTTTCTTAATCAAATCAATTTCACTCTGTTCTAAATGTATACAATGAGCTAAAATCGTACGTGATGTAAGTAAATTGAATTCATCATAAATTTCTGTATATGTTTCCATGTTATGGAATAATGATTTGATAAATGAGATTTCTGATTTCGATTCACTTAGTAAGTTTGTAATTGTAAGCTTGGATCTGATTGGAGTAGTTGGCCTAGTTGGCATAAGAGTTCATTGGTACATGAGATTGCAAATCGAGGGGTTAGGATCGGTTGAACTAGAGCCATTGAATAACCTTCCTTCTTGCAAAGTGATCTCTCTACACATTCTGAATTGGCTAACGACCCATCTTTGAGCGGATGATCAGGTATTGAGGTACCATGAACTTTTTCAAGCTCAGGAACACAATCTTGGCGAATATAGTCGATAAGCTCAATAGTATCTTTTATAGACTCCTCCACCGAATTCCCCTCATAACTTTTAAATGTTTCATTTCGATCCATCTACAACTAAAAACAAAATATCAAATTAACCATCATCCTTAGGAAAAAAATCCCTTTATTTTTTTATTTTTGTCTTCTGTTCAACTCACATTACATTTTCCAATAAATGCACGTTGACCAGCATTAAAACAAACTTGACTTAAAACTTTTGAAGCCGAAAGATGAATCGAACTAAAATAACAACAAATGGTTGTACCTGAATTTCTTGATCTCTTGACAACTTTTTCAAAAATCCTTTGTGAATAACCGTTAGATGAATATTTTGTTTCTTCTAAAAAGGTTACATTGTTAAGCCAATCAAGTACTAGATCGTCATCAATCAAAATTTAAGCTAGAAATCAACGAGCTTTAAGGGTTTGAATGGTATGAAAGTTTTAGGATTGGATACTCACATTCATAGTGTTGTCCAACTCTCACATTCGTATACTTTACAACATCTAAAAACCTCAGAACGATCTCATTAAAGATCCAAGCAAAACTTCCCAAACCCCAGGAAAAAAATACCAGAACCGAAAAATCAAATCAAATCAAGAACTCACAAGTATGAGTATCAATAAAACCAGGCAAAAGAAACTCTCCATTTCTCAACCTAATGAATCTCAATCAATTCACTTCTTCTTTTTGATTCCAATTCTTTTTCAATAAACTTTGAATCACATCACTTTTTCGATTCCATTCTTGATTTAATAAGTTTTCTTTTTTGATCCCAATGATCTTTCCATTTGAATTAAAAACGATTAAACCGGTTTTGATGATTTCTAGGTCTTCTGGTGAGATTGATTAAGACTGTTCTTGTTGCGGACTGTTTTGATTGACAAATCGATCGCGAAGTTTAGTGATATTTGATTGAGATAGGTGAGTGAGTGAGTGAGTAGAATTGTGAAGAAGAAAAGGGTGATACAGAGTTGACTTACATTCAGTTGGACCAGATAAATTAGAAGTACCAGCCGATTTACGAGCTCGATCACGAGCACGTTGTTTGGCGCGTCCCTTTTTAGTTGAAGTTGAGATGGCAGTAGAAGGTGTTCGATGTGATGGAATGATCGGAGTGGTTTGCGAATCGCTTTCTGAATCTGATTCGATTGATTCGACTGCCACTAAACTCAGCATGACAGAGATTGGGTCAGTATATTTATTATGGGACGATGAGTTGAAGGAGTCTATCGACTTACAAGCTTGAAAAGAACCACCAGTTGAGAAACCAGGTTTGAGTGAATTGGTTTGATTTGATTTGGGCATCTTACTTGTTTGATTGGTTGACAAAGTGCTACTGAAATGATAATCTGCTGAGCTGGTATCTCTTTTGAATGGTCATCAAAAGCTTAAGTACTACTTACTCGAGACTGAGAGTCGAAACATTCAAATTTTAACGATTCATCTGGATCCATTCACCCTTTTGGTATTTTAGATTCAGGATTACTTCTCAAGTTTAACGAACCCCTTACTCTATCTTTCATAGTAAACAGTCATATAGCAAAACAAATCATTACCCATCTTCAATGTCGTATTCTGGTCGTCTAACGCATCCCAAGAGAAGATGGAAGGATTTGGATGAATAGCTGTGACACGTTCAGCTTAAGGCTATCAGTCAACTTTTGATTCATTCAAACTACTCTTGATCGCGTATTGGATTGTTGCCACGTAATGAATACGCCTGAATACCTATCAATAAGAAGAAAGCTCCGAGATAATAGCAAACAGAATTCGGACTCCGTGTGATCGGAAATTTCAGCGGAAAATCCTTTGCTTCCTCTTACACTCGTGTATACCTTGTCAATGAGAGAGGGCAACTAACAAATCATACCACTCATCTAGCGTAGGGCTGAGACTTGTTCAATCATATGTTGATCGGATAGATGCAGATATTCCGGAGAATGAGAGACCCAGTACAAGATACTTCAGTCACATTCACAAACCAGCGACCTCCAACTGAAGAGTTCCTCACAAGCAATGATCGCTAGGATTGCTAATCCCGCGAGACTTATACTTCTTTGATGCATAACTGAGCTGTGCTAAAATACAGGATCTGACCATTCTGGGTCAAGGCAGATGTTGAAGCTTTGAAATCCCTTGATTTCTTTCTGGATTTCTTGAGACGAGAAGATCCCAGTGAGCTCAATTATCTTGACTCGTGAGTCTAATCAACAAAAGTCGATTTTGTTTTACTAGGCTCGCTGCGCTGCTTGTAGAAATCATACTACTTCATCAGCATTGTATTCAGTAAACTGAAGTGTGCAACTTTAGGTAAATCTGAAGCGCAGAACGTCCTCTTCTAGCCTCAGTTTGGAGGTTTGGTATAAATACGAGATACCGGACTGGACTCTGAGATAAAATGGATCCATTGAAGTTGACTAGCTTTGAGGATATAAACGCTTTTTTACACCACCAAAAGTGCCACAAGAAACTCCTACTCAGAACCTCAGAAGATCCCACAAATCGTAAATTTCTGCAAAAATAATGGGAAACTCTTTTAAGACACACACGTTGTTCCCAGTTTTTTTTAAAGTAGACTGCAAACTAAGAATAAGGAATTTGAAACTTTACTGATTTTTTTTGTCAAAGACAATATGAGCATGCTATAGCCAAGAAGTTTGAAAAGAAAGTCTTGAGGTGTCATGAAATGCTCCATGGGGTTTTTTCTTGTTGAGTAATTTGTTGGATCTGATAAATAACTTTCCTGGTCAAGAACATTGATCTAATCTACTCAATCGGTATGGAAAGACTCGCTATGTGACAGAAAACTAGGAAAAACCAAGTATTCCGATGGACCCATGAATCTTTTCCGGTTCATATAAATGAGATTATCTCTTATGAGTTCTTGGTGGGGTCGGGATGTGACACAGTCGTGTCTTGAACAGATCTCTCGTGTTCATCCTACCTATCTCTCTACTGTTACGATGGATCGATCCGTTCTGAAAATTTTGTGATAACTCCACTCAGTGATGGAAAGCTTCTCTGGCTGAGAAGAGAAGATAGTGAATACGGGGAATCTAATCGTCTTCTGGAACTTGGATATGAACTTCATATATATAGGCAGTAAGCAAATTCCCTCCTGCTTCCATAGGTGTTGGTTTTGTAATGTGAATGATAAGTCTGACCGAGAATCAAATACAAACGAAATATAAAGAATAAATTTCAGTGAAAGCGAGGGCCATTGATTTTTATACTTTAATCAATGACTCCTTGCTCATGTCAATCCCAACTACCTGTTACCGTGGTATGCTTCAGGGCCAGCCATCTGACCAAGTCGGCAGGTCCAAGAGCTACGCATGCACACTTTCTCACCTATATGGTTGGGTTCTCATCATTTGTTTTATCAAAAAAATTATAGAGTCATAGTGTTCGATCAACGCGGATCCCGGATAGATGCCATTTACTGCTGAGATGCTTAAGCTTTGCTGAAGTAAAAGGTATGGTGCTTTTGGCGCGATCTTCGGATTTTGAACTATTTGGTGAATCTCCTTGTGGATATGAAGCTGAATGAAGCGCGATCTACGATATGAAAGAGAAGCATTGAACAATGAGAAGCAAAATAGATTTTTAGCCTAACTACGCGACACCTATTTAGGTCTTTGAGAAATCAAAGAAAAGCTATCGGACCTGTGAGAATTGGAGATGACTTGGATGTTCAAAACATGAGTTGAGTTTGGAGATTGAGAGAGCAATAAGTCTTTGCATCTCTTTCCTCCAGATAGTCGCCAGAGGAAATGGTCCCAACTGTAGACAGAAACAGATAAAACGCTCTTTCCATCTCCATGAGGGTATTGGGAAGGATGCACGATCCAAATGACTGAATGGACACGTTAGTTAAATGATCCATTCGGTCTTGAGGAAAGCCTGTTTTTCAACCTCTGAACTCGAACAGTTTGAATTATCAAAATTCTTCAATAGAGTGGATTGACGCAAGCTGGAGGTGGGTATCAAAAATTGAGGTAGAGAAGGGGCAACTATATCACCTTTATCAGATTATTATCTTTCTATCCGACACAGACTGATCAGCTCGCGTCAATCAGTACATATGTATTTCTTCGCGTGTATATAACCTTTATGATCCAAACAAAAATAATGACTCACGTGACGCGCGTTGAAGCTGATCTCAGTATCTGAGCCATACAAATACTGTCCATCTTTCAGAGGGATCCAAATTTTGCTTCATCATCCGTACCACCAACTTCCGGTTCCATTCCTCAAATCCCCCTTTCACTTTTATTCACCTTTCACTTCCGATCTCACTCAACAAACTTCTCTGATTCCAAAAATGCCTCTTCCCCAGTTCAAAAAGATTTCCTTTCGTGATAGTCTTCTCGCTTTTCCATTCTATCTGATCGTTTCCTTCTGTCTTCACGCCATCTTATTAAACTTTGGTCATCTCGAACTTCATCCGGTCACCAACTTTTTCACCGTCTTTGTCTTCGACATTATCTTTGCCATCTTCACCTTTCCTATTCTTTACTTTCTCTACTCTTCCTTCATCAATTTCTTATCCTGGATGATGGATCGTCGCTCTCGTAACCAAGATCTCGACATTCCTCTCCATCGATTTTATCCTGCCATCTCTCCACCTATTGCTTGTTTATGGGCTCCTTTGATTAACGTTACTCGTCCTACTGAACCTCCTTTGACCAACTTACCACCACCTTTTCCCAAACAGGACCCCGACTTTCTTCGTACTATCTATGAACCTCGTCTTAGAGAATATGTACCCCCGATTCAATTATTCGAGGTCTCTGAATCATCTGAAGTCGAAGTATCGAGGCCCTTTGTTCTATTTGACCTCTCAGACACTACCTCTTCACCATGTATGTCTCCTTCCCCTTCTCCTTCTCCTTGTCTTTTGCTTCCTCTTCTCATTTGATCATTTACTGATTTGGTTGATTTTGCTCGATTTCAACCCAGCTCAATTTTGTGCGGTGAATGTAGATGAAAACATCTTGGGCTTTGTAACTGTTCCATTGGATTGAGGTGAGCACTTCTTCCCTTTCATTCTTATGAGCTGCATACTGATTTCTTTCCATTTCTTCATCATGTATAGTTTGATCTTAACTATTTCACATCCTCTCATTTTCTCTATTCCTCCATGTCTCCGATCTTGGGACATGAGAATTAGCGGATCCTTCCGTCTTTGCTTGTTCACTTATGGAAGAGCAAGATGACTACGCCATATGTCCTGGTGGTGAAGGAATGCACCAGGATGATAAAATTGTAATCAATTTCTCTCCTTGTTCAAACTGCATTATCAACTTCTTCATGTACACTCCTTGTCTTTATTATTTTATGTAAAACAGTTTTCATCTCCTCTCAAATGTCAATCGTTTCTGAAAAAATATACATGTATTGGTTTTTTTGTTATTCATTTTGGGTATGCGTTATTGATAACTTGTTATTGTTTGTTACGGATAATTTTTAAGTGTGTTTGCTAGGTAATTCAATGAGCGACTTGTCATCAGAGACTACATAGGTACTTTAACTTATGAAAACAGTTTGAGGATAGTATGATGAGAATTTTCAACAGCTGAATTCGGATAGTCAGTTAGCCAAATGGCTGCAGTTCTTCCCACTCTTTGAGTTGACTTCATCAATTTTTTTGAGAGTCTCACAACCATACAAGCCCAGACTCAGTGCGGTCCACCAAGCCTATTTGATAACTATCGGAGGATCCTCAGACACTCAACTTGTTGTATCTAGAACAGAATTTGGGGTTAGGGGTTAAAATCAAAATACCAAAAAAGCGTATGCACGAAAAATCTCTCAATGCTCCGAAAGAATCCTTATAATTGAAGAAGATTTCTTTCATAAAACCAATCTTGAAAAGAAGTGCTGGAAAGAATAGAATAATAATCTAAAATCAACATGCAACTCATGTTATTAGGTAATAACAACAGACACCCCCACATTGGATGGCCAACCACTCACATGGTTCTGAGTGGTCGGTAATCTTAATGCTACATGGCCTTGCACGTAGATGCAAAACGCCTCAGAAAACCATCTCCCTGCTGATTGGATATAGTCCATAGATGCACCAGCCTGGGCCAACGCAATAGCTCCCCCTGACCTAAGAGAATGACCTGAAAATGATTTATTGAACAGATTGTGGAACCGAGATAAAAACCAAGACCGTGAAGGATGAACTCCTGAAGATGTTATAAATAATTCTGATTATGAAAGGAATAGTAAATCTCTTGATCTAAGATAAGATTTCATAGGAGCAATAGGACATGCTGCTGATAAGTCAAAATATTGAATGATAACCG